ACTTGAAGCAGATAACGTAGATGCTCTAAAATCTCGTGTGAAAATATATTCTAAACTAAATCGTAACGAAGAAAAACAAGCTGATCTACACAAAATATTGTTAATAGAAGAAAAAAGAAAATATGAAAATTCTTATAATGATTTGGTCAGATCATTGGAAGTTTGATATAATGATGCAAAAGTATCAAGATTTCAAATACAAACATATACAATTTACATCGGGCACTTCACTAGTGTCTATAGAAAGAGATCATCAATAGAAATTGGAAAGGCTTGAAATTTGTTTATTGCTAAACCAATATCAAAATAAAATACAATCCATTTCTTTATAAAAAAAAAAAAAGTTATTATATTACCGTACAGTGAGGACAATAATAGCCGGATACAAAATTAATACGGAGTATTATACTAAGCAATTGTTAATATGAAAAAAAATTTATATAGGATATGTCCAATGAGTATTTTAGTAAAAAAAATTCAATGAGCGCATGTGCGCTCCGCACATAAATTTTTTTGCGCACAAAAAAAAATACAAGACAGTGCGCAAAACGCAGTTAGTTTTTAGTAATATATTATAAATATTTTAACTAATATGTGCTATAAGTTGATATTATTTAATAGTTTACGATAGTTTCATATTGCTGTAATGCTATAATTTACTGGACTCAATTATGCAAATTTTAGGCTATGTTTAGTAAATTATAAGCTTAAAAGAGTCCATATTCTGGTTCCTCTTGGCATTTTTAAATATTTTTTAATAAGTATAGTAATTATATGAATTTAGTAATTTACCGCATGTCCGATACATCGCATCCTATAAGATCTAGTGTAACGTGATTAAATTCGTTAGGGTGAGGGTTAGGTTAGGGTTAGGGCAGGGGTTAGGGTTAGGGTTAGGGTTAGGGCAGGGGTTTTAGTGAAGAGGTCCTAACTAGAGATGCGGTGGAATCTCAAAGCATCGGAACATGCCGTGTTGTAATTTAGTTATAACTTTATTTCGCATTCGATTTTAAATTATGACATATAGTAATATTTGTATTTACTTTAGTGTTGTAACATATTGATATTGTCGAATGTATCGTAACTTTTTTGCACATCGTAACTTAACTTTTCATATGCCGTAACATTATACGTATAAATTTTACATATAATTTTTAAATATATGATTATAGATTATGTATACATAAAGTGCAAATGTACATATATATATTAATTTATATATACATAGATGACTATATAAAGTACCAATATGTGTACGTATACAGAATTATTTACATATTAATTTATTCCTCATCTTCATTAAACATTTGTGCCATTAAGCTTGCAGGATTGTAATTAAGATTGCTTGAACTGAACCATTGAGTTGTAGCATTTAATATTTTGCTTTGATCTTCAATAAATGAATTATTATTTTCAATAAAAACTGGGTTTGAAATATCAACAATTTCCTCAATTAATGATTTATCATCAACAATTTCTTCTAGTTACATGTTGCAAGGTTCAGAAATTGGACTAAATAAATCAGAAAAATTTTCAATAATAAATTCTAACTGACTAACATTAACAGTTAATCCATTCACTCTATCTTTTAAATCACATTCTAATAATTCTTTTTCATAAAAGGATAATTTTTGTTTAATATTTGTATAACATAAAGTTTAAATCTTAGTTATTGCTTCCAATTGAAATAAATTTAGTCTTGTTCTTCGATCTCTAAACAACTATTTGAGTGTTGAAAAGTTTCTTTCACATATAGCTTTGATGATAAGATAAAAAATATCTTAATTATAAGTTCTGATATTGGATCTTTCTGTACATCAATGCTGAACCACTACTTTAATAATGATTTTTTCCTTTTTAAATTGTTGAATATAAAGTTTTTCATTATGTTTATATACACAAAGTTCATTTAACAAATCTTCACATAATGCTTCATTGTACCCCAAATCTTGTCATATACTAGTTGTAATTTTACAAATTTTATAAAATTGACCTCATTTTAGCCAATACTTAAATAAAAAATATATTACATAGTATAATTGATTAATTTATTAAATTATATATTTATTTAAGTTATTATATATATATATATATACCTTAGTACAATGAATGTAAATAATATACAACGTGATATAATGATATTACAAATTCATTAAATCATAGATTATAAATTTTAATAATTTTAGTATTAAATATATTTGAACTTGCAAGATGATTAATAGCAGCAACCATTTTAATAAGTGCAACATAATATAATCAGTAATAGTTGTATATTGGCTTTTTAATTAATTAATTATGTTTTTAATTAGTTTTATAATTGCTGATATAAAATGACAATTATTAAAAAAATTAGGATTTTGAATTAAGTTAAATACTATTTTATTAGAAATTATAATTGTATAATTATTAATAAGCTAATCAAAAATAGGTTGTATACAAATTAAAGAATCAACAGTTGTATATAATGATCTTATCATGTTTTACAATATGTTTTAAGTTTATCATTATTAATATTTATAACTATTAGACTTTTTTTTAAAAGCTTATTAGCTACTGAAGAACAGTGAAAAAAGTTTATAACTAATCTATATTTTTTGATTAATTCTTTAATTTTATCAGTTTTTAATAAATCAAATGCAATAAATTGTTGCATATGCATCATAATGAATATAAAGAATAAAATTAATTGTTCATTTACTAATTTTCTTATACATCTAATATTTGAACCATGATTCATAGCAATGGCAGCAAATATTTAGTCTCAATTTTATCAAGAAAATTATTTATTTTTTTGACAAGAAAATTACCAGTTTGTGAAATCATAAAATAATATATAATTTGAAATAAATATTCTAGTAATTAAGTATTATAATAATATAATTAAAAACTGATGAACCAGTTAATGCAGTTTATCTATAAGGGTTAATATTAAATTTGATTCAGATTCTAACTTATTATTAATTACATTTTCTACTTTAGCAACCTTCTCATCAAAAATATGTTTAAAAAATATAGAACAGAAAGATGGATTATATTTATTATTTAAAGTCTTTAACATATCAATTATAAATAAATTATTTATAGTTTAAAAAAAAATTTTGAAATATACCCAGTAATTTAAAACAGCTTTCTCTATTTGTTTTTGTTTTTTTTCTTAAATTACATTATGTATATTTATTTGATTATTGGTTTTATACTGTCCTTTTACAGACTTCTCTTTTACAGCTAAATTATTTTACCAAATTTCTTTGATTTCTTGTAAACCATTTGAACATTCATAACCAAATAACACTTAAGTATTTATAATTTTTCATATATTCAATTACAAGAACAATGTTTACAATTAATACCATAATATCTATTATCTAAATATTTACTAATATTGATATAATCCCAAATTTGATCTCTTTTAGGTTTATCACAACACTTTTTTGAAAATAAATTTGAAGTAGAATTCTGCTCTTCAGACTAATTATTATAAGTGCCATTATTGTTTTAAATTAATGTATTATTTAATGATTGTTGAAAATAGAAGATTGATATATAAAAAACTATTTTAAATAATTACTATATTTAGATAATAATAAATATAACTCTTGATTAGTAATATCCTTAAGAGTATTTATTATAATAAACTTTTATTAAAGAAATTTGAAAGTAAAATTATTTTCTATTTATTTTTAATATTATATAGCAATTGCATAAATATCTAATTTAATTTTTATAATATAGCTATTATATAATAATTTATTGTTTAAAATCTTTATTAAAATTATCATATTATATTGCTATTTAAAGTTATACTGTTAATTAAAGTTATAATACTAATTAAAGTTACAATGCTAATTAAAGTTACAATGCAATAGGATTATATAATTTTGACTATAACTATAACTGTAACTAATTAAATGTTATAAAATTTATTAAAATAATTCTACTTTACCTCTAATTCTAACACAAAATTTTATAATGAATTTTTTTTTATTAAAGTACAAAAAATAGTTTAATTGAAAAAATTTTGTACTATAGCTGATTTTTGAAAAAAAATTCATAATCACTTCTATTTTATATTATGCCTGATACTGTATTCTAATAGATTGACTAGAAGTAGTGATACATCATTATAGTAGTAAATTACAAAAAAAACTAATTTTATAATAAACATCTATTAAATTAAAATGCAATTTGTATTTAATCTTGAGTTTAAATTTTTTTCTCTTGCTGTATATTAAATTTTTAGTTAATGAATATTATATTTCACTTTTATATTGTTAACAAAACTTGTACAAATTTTTTGAGTATTGTTTATAGACTGTCTAAAGTCTGAAAAGCCTTAAAATTTAAAATAGTCATGTAATTATAATTCTAGTCAAAATTAAAATAAGTAGAAAATTTTGACTAAATTGATTAAAATTTTTACTTTAGATCAAAAAAATATTTTTGTGTTTTAATTAGTAATTTACAAATATATATTGGCAATTATAAATAATATAACAAAAAAAAATTTAGTTGGATCATATTATTTTATACAATTTCAGATATATCTGTTAAATTTTTTATTTTATTCATAAATAAAAATAGAATTATTAAATAAAAAGACTTGAAAATTTAGAGATTAAAATTTTTTGAAGGTATAAGTTTTATTTGAATATACATGTTAAATTATTTATACTTGTTTTAACAGCAACATGATTGTAAAATAAAAAAAATTTTTAGATAAAAAAAAATTTTTTTTCTAATAATTTTAGTCTTTACTATCTGGTTTAGCTACCTCAGGCTCTAAATACATTATGAATTCATTCTAGTATTGAACAAATTAATCTTATACAGGTTTTAATGTTAATTAATTATTAAATTATCTGAATTTTTCTCATAAGTCTTTTTTATTTGAAATTTGACTAGAGAGGTCTCTAAGTTGATAATCAACTTTATTTTATAAATGTTTAATTGGTTAAAATTGGTTAATTAGAAAGGTCAGTTGAAAAATTTTATCTTATTCTTTTTAAGCAATATTTGGTTAAGGTTATTATATAACAAGTTATTTTATCTTATTAAAATAATTTTATCAATTTCAAATCTATAATTCTTAATTATCCACATTAAATCTTCATAAAGTATTTGATAATACAGTTCATTATCTATTATATCATCAAACTTATAATAGTT